CTTGTGCAAAACAGTTTGGGCACAGCTGCGTCTTCTTGGACATAAGCGAGAAGGGTGATTCCCGCCGAAACAAAGATCGCACCGCTTGGGGGCAGGAACAACTCGGGTCTTGTACGAATTGAGCCTGCGAGTTGGGGCGCTCGTGAGTGCCGATCTTGGCGGAACTGGCCCCGAACCGCTAGGCATGACGTCGTCGATGGCCTCCTGGGTGCGACGCTCTGTCAAAAAAGCATCTTACTCCTTCCATGTTGGAATTTCGGCTTTGTTATGAATGGATTGCTCCCACAGCGACTGTGTTATGTTGGGGAGTTTGGAGGACACCATATACACCAGGATGCAATCCCAAGCCTCGATTTGAATCGAGGACATCTCTAAGGCTGCCAGGCAGCTTTGAATGGTGCCCTGCAGATCCTTCAGCGCGACTCTGGATTCCTGAGCACAGCCTGGATATTGAAGAGGATCTTTAACTGTCTGTTGACCAACAACCGTCGATTTTCAAAGCGGTCGGTGAGGCTTTGCCACGCTATGGCGAACCCTTCATTGGTGAGCGGGGCCTTAGACACAATGGCATTTGCGTCGCCACTGGTATTCGAGAGGAGGTGGAACAACTTTTCAACTGGGGTGATGCGAGAGTTGTGAATGTAAATCGCAGTGAATAGATCTCTGAAGGTGGGCCAACGAAGATAATCGCCCTCGAAAACCTCTGTATCCACTGGTGGCAACCGACACCCGGTTGGGGAGGGGGGCGTGTGGACACTGCTAGCCGCCCGAGCTGACTGAGAGGCGGCTTGAGATATTGCTTCCTCGAGGTTGGCAACACACCTCGAATAAACGGAATAACAGTAGCTGTACTTTGACTCCAGCACTGTCGAGGTGGCCTTGCCGTCGTCGGACGCGGAGAGCAGTTTGAAGCAGCTCTCATAACTTTTCTCCACCTTTTCCCACAGGGCCCGGATTTGGTACCTATGGACTTGACACATGAAGAGGGAGAATTGTTCAGTCTCCGGGGTGACCGGCGTGTAGATATTCGCCTCAAATTGACTGACACGGTCTGTAGTGGCAATAAACCGTTTGAGAGCGACATCTATCGCATTTTGCGCCATTCTGACAACTGACCGAGTCGTTCGTCGCTTTTTACCCTTGGAATGGCAGTGGCAGCCTAAGGCTTCAGTTAAGACGCCCGCGGAGATGCGGATTGGGACCTATCCAAGCGGATGGAAGGGATCGGACGCGGTTTCTTGTCGTCTCCCGTGGGCATTCTCGGAAGCGAATGCTGCTGATCAGTGCTGGTCAACTGTCGAACGGGAAAACTGTTTCACAAAAGCACTGTCTTGATCGGCAAAAAATAGAGAGATGACGGACGAAATGTATATGGAACTCGGGATGCGGGTTTAGGCAGTACGTACGACGAACAAGCGGAATAGAGCTCACAGAAGGCTGAAGGATACGAAAGGAGCCAACAAAACATAACCGAATGGAGGTACTGAGCTTAGATATGTACTTATTGTGAATTATTGAGATGAGAATATAACCGCTGTGTTATACCGACGGAGCGCGGTGCCTATATGATGTCCAACAATTTAAGCGGCAACAACAACACGCACGGACTCTGCGGCGACGAAGTGCATACAAAAAAAAATACACAGAATAAGCGCAGTCGCATCAGATGAATTGAATTTGGATGTTGGTTATGCTGGTACTTGTCTAACAAATGTTAAGGCCATCAACTGCAAGCCGCAAAAGTTGAAGAGCGGAACTTAAAAGATCGGTACTTGGTCACGAGGAAAAATCCTATGTGTGCCTATGTGAAGGCCCCAAGACCCGAAGCGGCAACAACAACTACACGGCCTCTGCGGTGACGAAATTGAAAACAATTAAAACACTTGCGTTTGCGTTTGGGTTTTGTTGCTAATTGTTTCGTTCACTTTGATTTTTTTTTATTATCGGGATTAGTTCCTGGAATCGTTGGCAGAAAATATATTGGAAAATATATGGGCATGCATGTAAATAGGAACAATGTGTCGGGGCACAGTGGAGCGTCGAGAAGTAGACTGTATTAAATTCCGCGAACAGAAATATGTTGTATGGACACGGAAAAAAAAAACGACAAAAAAATATCGCGGCAGCGGCGGGCTGTTCGGCGAACAAGGTGAACTTCCGAAACGAGTGCACATCGGCTGTCCGATATTTATTATGCCCCTTTTTCCCGCAACACGATTTCACTGTTCACGGTATAGTTATTAACTGCACGAAATTATGATGTGCAATAGGTTAGCATTCGTGTGTGTGTGTGTATGTGGCTGTACATAGGCCTCGACCGTTGGCAAGTTGATGGGCAACGGGCAATGGAAGAAACGGCGAGGAACGGAGGCGAATAGAAATTGGAGTTCCTCAGTTGCTTTGGGGTCAGGAAAACTGACCGACAGTTGACACGAATGACAAGGGAAATCTTGCGGAAGTGCGACCGAAATTGAGTGTTCGGCCCACTGTTGCAGATCGGCAGCGAGGCTAGACGGAGAAGAAAAACTCGTACTTATCTTGGCGGACAGATGCCTGGAACTGCTGGTGACTTGGAGGATATCCTACAAGGGAATCCGGATCGAAGGATTAAATGATTAGGGGGCGATCCTGCCCGCAAAAACTCGGCCATGGAGGCCCAAGAAATTCCCACGTCGCTGGCGAAAAATTTAACCCGTCAGGGTTGAAAAGATAAAGGCGGGGGCGTCGTGGTAGTTTCAGCTGAGCGTCAGCATTTATTCGCTGCTTACATGAGACTAACTTAAAGAGAAAAAACGAGCTCCCGGTCGGTTTGCCTAGTTAAAGCGAAAGCGGGAGATCGACAATAGTTGGAGAGCGAGCGCAAGCCGGAAACAAAAAGCTCGCTAGTGAGCAGAGGCGGCACAGTGGGCCCCTCACGTAAACAATTATATAAATTATGTAAAAATTAAAACTCTTGTAAGTGAACACAAATATAACTGCCCGCTCGAAACGTAACTGCCAATGAACTTCTTTATCACAATTTGCAACATCGGACTTTTTCATTAACATTTTATTAGCCGATTCTCACACCTACTTAATTTATATAAAACAAGAAAGGAAGCTTGCAGATAGAACTTCGATGACTGGGAATCCATACAATATAAAAAATATAAATTAAAGTTAAAAAACAATGCTTTCATTTCATTCACCTATACATATTATATTTTCAGTTTTACATTCACAGATTTGCATTTTGCTCCACATCTAACGATCGTTTGTATGGCACCTATGTGATATAGTCGTCCGATTTTCATAAAATTTGACACAAAATTTAAGACTGATATAAAATGGCTATATCTCAAATTTGATGAAAATCGGCTGAAAACTGAAAACGTTATAATTTTTAATTGTATTCATTTTTTGATCGTTCCTATGGCAGCTATGTGATATAGTAGTCCGGTTCTTTTATAACTTTACAAAAAATTGTAGATTAAAATAAAATGGCTATATCTCAGATTTGATGAAAATCTGGTGAAAACTGAAGAAGTTATAATCTTTTATTTTATTAATTTTTTTATTTCTTATAAAATGGCTATGTATCAAATTTGATGCAAATCTGTTGAAAACTGAAAATGTTATACTTTTTAATTAAATTAATTTCTCGATCGTTCCTATGGGAGCTATATGATATAGTCGTCCAATTTGCACAAAATTGTACACAAAATTTTAGAATAATATGAAATGGAGATATCTTAAATATGATTAAATTCTGTTGAAAACGAAAAATGTTATAATTTTTTTTGTTCAAATTTTCCGATCATTCCTATGGAAGCTATATGATATAGTCGTCCGATTCGGCCCGTTCCGACATATATAGTATATAGAAGACTAACTGCAAAGTTTCATTCAGATAGCTTCAAAACTGAGAGACTAGTTTGCGTAGAAACGGACAGACGGACATGGCTAGATCGACTCGGCTGTTGATCCTGATCAAGAATATAATATATATGGTCGGTGGTGCCTCCTTCACTGCGTTGCGAACTTCTGACTGAAATTATAATACCCTGCAAAGGTATAAAAATCGGTCAAGCCGTTTCGGTATGGTAACAAACACCGTGGCATGATAATAAATATATGTTATATAAAAATGAAACCCGTTTTTCGTTTTCGCCACATAACATAAAAGCGGCTTGGCCGATTTGGCTTATTTTTTTTTTCAAATACTCTGTATAAGGTTCTTACGGAAACGAATATTAAGAATATCTCTCAGAAAGATTGAAAAATTTAATTTTGCATATTTAAAAAAACGTGCTTAACGAATGTCAACGTCATCTGTAATCTGTAATCTGTAACACCATATCGATAACAAAAAAATCTGTGGTAATCTGTGACAACACATCCACCGCGGCTTGACCGATTTGGGTGAAAATATGTAGGGAGGTAGCTTAGAGCCAGGAGACGGACAAAGGATACTTTTTATCCCGTTGGACAGAAAAGCTGATATTTAGCATTTACTACAAACCAATATATCATGTAGTCGATTCCTAACATTTCAATTAAAAACAATAAAATAAACAAAGTGTAGGCATTTGTCTTTAAGGTGGTAAGTTGAAATGTATAATTTATGTGGATCGTGCATTTAAGGTTATAAAAGGACGACGTGTATTCACAGAACTTAAACGAAGAAAGACAAAATATAATAAGAGAAAGTGCCCTATTGAGAAAACGCGTGAGGACACGAAGATCATTGGCATCAACGGAGAACTACAGTGATAATGAAAATTTAGATATTGAACCAATGACGACTATATACCGATATTGCAATGCGTTAAAGTTCAAAAAAGAAACGGCAGGATTGTGCTGCGCAAGTAAAAAAGTAAAAGTGGCTCCATTACTTTTCAAATATAAAACAAATTTCTTCATTTTTATCATCAAACGAAATGTTACATAAAACGAAGCCATCTGGTTGATATAGATTATATATTTATATTATATTCTTATTATAAGAGTTTATATCTTACCTTAAAGCTTGCCATTGGATGGAAGTAGAGTACACGCTGATTAGTCCTTTTATCGTATGAAATACTCATTCCAAAAACTCCGTCTAGCCATTGAAAATTTAATCCATAGATATTAAAGTCAGATGCAAATGGCTCCGGACTAAAATTATAATTCGTAACTCGCCAGCTTTTATTATTTGAGAGACTGTAAACTACGAGACCGAATCGCCAGACATCTGATACGATTGCATAAGCATCGTCGCATGAATTTCCGACATCTACAACAATATTTGAATGTAGAGAATCTTGTTTCACTTGGGACTCTGGTAAGTTGTAGTGAATAATCTCTTTATCAGTTTTAAGATCATACACGACTATCTTTGGCGGGCAGATTTGATTTAGGTTGACAGTTGCATTAACAATACCCGAGTCAATTAACCAAAGTCTATCGCATTTATCAATCGCCGTGCGATACACCGATATTAGTTTGGAGCAATCTGGAGTTTTGGGGTCTCCATGAGCCTTCCATGTGGGATACGGTCTAATTGCCGGACTTGTCTCCCTTGCTGGATATGGAATGGTACCTAAACTGGCAGGTACTCCATCTTTCCAACGAGGTGTTGTTATAAACAAACGGTCTCGGTATACGTCGATTCCCAAGGGTAAGTTGTTTTTAGGAACGAAGTCGCTATAAATAAATAAGTTTAGTATTGATTTAACGCTACTAAGACATTATATTTATCATCCGATTTGTATAAAATTAAAACCAAAATCGTACAATAATACAAAATTAATATTTTTTTAAACTGGCAAAATTAACATTTTTGTTGTGAGCATTTTCCAATCGTCCCTGTTGAAACTATTTGATATAAATTGTCCGATCTTTTCCGACATATATACTAAGGAGAGTATAAAGTAGACTAACGGTAAATTCATTGAGATAGTTTCAAAACTGAGAAACAAGTTTGCGTAGAAACAGTCAGACAAGCAGGCGGACAGACGAACATAGCTAGTGACTGAAAATTCTTAAAGTCTAGTGTAAGTTAGTTTGGGGCGAAGACGAAGGGATAATAAAGCTCTCACTCGCTCTTTGCGAATTTGCCCAGCCTTCGCCAACCGTCGTTTAAGCTGATCTCTAAGTAAGATTGTGTGAAAAAAAAGCTAATTGAATAAATTGAATTTATCTCGAGCATACGCATTTTTCGTTATCGAACAAGAATACAAACAAGAACAAACAAATTAAAAAGTACGTTTTTTCTGTTCTTTGTGAATTGCTGCCCGCGGCACTCCTATTGTGTTAAACATTATATTAACAAAAGAAAGAAAGCTAACTTCACGCCGAAGTTTTTATACCCCTGCAGATTGAAGTTCGATCACTAGGAATTATATATATTTTTGTTAAAAAATAATTAAGGTCACGAAACATTTATGGAAGCGGTGGACAATAATAGTTGTGGTCTATTATTCCTGGACGCACCTGGAGAAACAGGGAAAAAATTTGTCATTTCATTGATTTGGCCACTATTCTATCAAGATGTGACAACTTTGGCGTTAGCATCATCTGGAATTGCGGCGACTTTCCTAGATGGCGGTCAAACTGCTCATTCGGCTCTTAAGTGGCCACTTAATTTAAACACTATTGATAATCCAATATGCAATATTTCCCGATCCAGGGCATTGGGAAAATTATTGATGCAATGCGAGGTCATTTTTTGGGCTGAGAGCACAATGGCACATAAGAAATAACTTGAAGCACTTCACTTCACACTGAAGAATCTTCGGCGAAATAACAACATCTTTGGTGGCTTGATGATATTGTTGGCAGGCGATTTCAGGCAGAAGTTCCCAGTAATTTCCCGTGGAACGGCTGCAGATGAATTAAATGCTTGCATGAAGGCATCACCTTTATGGAATAACGTAATGGAATAACGTAAAAACATATTGCTAACCAATTAGAGACTTTCTTCAAGGCCCCCCGTGGGCCCGCCCCGCTCGCCTCGCCGAGCAACGCGGAGCGTAACTCAAAATCCGCTTCGCCCCTCTAGGGGGAGGTAATACACCACTCTATTACCGAAATCGACGAAGATGAGTTGCTGCGCTCGGATGACGAGACGCTAACACCGTCGAGTTCGGCGGGCAGTGCTAAAGCAATCACTCCCCAAACGGCACAACAAAAAACAAACTCCACCAAGCGAGCCACGTCAAGGTAAGAAGGGTACCCAACCCATCAACAAAGGAATGCGCAGGTCAGGAAGGCCCGGTTCATTCTGTCGAAGATAGAATGATAGTATTATAGAATGAGAAGGAGGGCAAAACTGACCACCGGGATCAAAGTGACAAAGCTTAATTCCAGGCGGTGGTCGAGGACTTTGAGATGTACGAGAAGGAGCACCCAAAAGCGATCTTGCCCGGCGGAGAAAAGCAGTGAGGTGGCTAGAGACAGCCTTGCATTGGTGGACGACCACAACGACGATTGCCGTCTGCTGATAAAGAAATGGGAGCAGGTCGAGCCCAGACTGTCTGAGATGGTAACAGACAAATTGCTATCAGAGTCGTCTGGTCCGACACCCGATCAGGTGCGACGACGAGTCATCGAGGGACTAGAGCACAGCAATTATAAGGTAGGAGGGTCTCGACCAATCCCTTTCTTTCAGACCATAGGTATACATTCTTAGAAATCTCGTTGCCGACACATGGGACAGCGGCAAAGCGCAAAGCGCCCCACAACACTGACAGGGACAACTACGGAACAATTTTTCAGTCTAAGGTGAGAAACAGAAGGACTAAGGTTTGGTCTCCCCTAGAAGAAATCGACAACGATGTCTAGGATTTCAGTAACATTCTCAACAACGCGTACAAGGAGTCATGCAGACTCACGTACTCAAAAGTATTAAGCGTACTCAGCAAAAAGGTTAGGAAGGCCTTCAATATAAGCTGCGAAGACAAGGATTGGCTATCGTACAAGGAGTTACAGAAAGAATACAAAAAAGCGATATACGAAGCCAAGAACCACTCTTGGAGCAGCTATTGCAAATCACTAGAAGGAATAAAAGGCTAAGCAAGATACTAGCAAGAGGGCGAACTAGCCCTACACTTATAAACAGGCCTGAAAGCTCAGGAACGACGTCGGTAGAAGAGTCGCTAGAAACTGTACTCCATACACACTTCCCAGGAAAACAGATAGAAGAATCCGGAATAACGGAAAGGCAAAGAGCAGTTCAACAAATACGAGCCAAACTGAGTGGCACTCATCACAAAAGATTTGTGAAGAGAGGCACACATCAGGGAGGAGTTCTGTATCCGCTACTATGGCTGATAAACATGGATAACATATTGAAAGAGCTTAACAGTGAAGGTGTAAAAGTACGCAGATGACGTAGTCTTACTGACTTCAGGACCCTTCTCCGACCTCATCAGCGAACTGAAGACAAGGGCACACACCAAACTCAATGCATGGGCAAAAGCCTGCGGATTGGGTATTAACCCAGGTAAAACTAGGCTTATGCTCTTCACAAGAAGAACAAAGATCCCCACTTCAATAAGCCCTAGTAAGAAGGCATAGAACTTGGAATATCGCTACAAAGCAATCTGGGAGTGATACTAGATGCGAAGCTGTAATGGAAACAAAACATTAAAAGAGTTAAAAAGCTAGCATAGCTTTTTACTCCTGTAGGAAGATGTTTGGAAAAAAACTGGGGCATCCACCCCAAGATAATAATATGGCTCTACACAGCGGTTGTAAGACACATACTAACATATGGAGCACTAGTGTGGTGGCCACCATTAAGTAAGGCCTACAACATCCAGAAACTCACAAGGATTCAAAGATCGGCATGCGCAGGTACAACTGAAGGCAAGCCAGAGCTGGAAGAACTACCACACCTGGACGAGACTAACTATCGCATGACAAAAGACACTGATTATATGACATCCGAACTGAACGAATTCAGAAAGATTCAAGACCTCCGGAATACCAAGGTAACGATCTACTCAGACAGGAAAACAGGGATTACAAGGACTAGTGGCCAAGGACCAGTGGCCAAATGCAAATAGGCACATAACAGACTAGCAGAAGACAATAAATTAAATATAATATATATATAATTATATAATATATATATAATTATATAATATAATAATATATATATAATTATATAATATATATATAATTATATAATATACTAGCTGTACCCTGCCACGTTTCTCTGTGGCATATTATGGTTAAGAGGGCACTTCTGAATACATCAAGGTTCCGGCAAAATCATCTTCCTGGCATAAGGTGAAGAAGGCAGTCAGAGTTGTCGCTGGCGGATTCAGGACTCTTTCTTGCACTTTTTTTTCTGTGAAATAGACACGTTGACCATTCTCCAAATTGAATGCCAAGTGAACTACAGCTGGATAGCGTTCATGAATTGGGAACGAAAAAATTCGCCATGCAGCCTCGTTGCTGCTTATGTATCTTCCAGCATGGTATTGAGATATTTCATCGACAACTCGTACTGCATTGCTGTCACCATTTTCTGCCTGAACACCAAAAACTGCCATATCGCTGCCTTTATTCACGTACTTGCAGATATATTTAATCGATTTCGCGGAATTGCAATATTCTACGTTGATGTGCGCTTTGTATGATTTTGACAATAGTGGTGAGTATGGAACCACCCAACTATTGTCTACCTCAATATCACCAATTCTCATGTTTAAAGTTGCCGAAGTCCCTCCATCTTCAGTTGACCGTCTCCTATACAGAGGATATCCATCTTCCCCTGTTACGGTCTTGGCTGTAAATGCTCGAGGATATCGCTTGAAACACTTCCCGTCTACCATGCTTGGTGAACTTCGGTTGAGGGTACCACATGGGCCATGGATCATGTTCTTGATGACAACTGCATGCAAATCTGTATCAACCTCTGCCCGTGGAATCTCAGCGCATATCACATTGTCAATTTCGTCTGGAGTAATTTTATCATACAGCCAAATCAGTATGTGCGCATGCGGCAATCCTCTCTTCTGCCATTCTACCACCGCAGAGATTCAAAAACTCGATGTTTCACAATGAAATCCATCAGTGACTTGAGCTTTTGTCTGAAAACACGGGCTGTGATGTCATGCCTATCCCTATATGATTGTCCAGGAAATACTGTACTATCTCGTCCCAAGCTGGATTGCATGTGAAGGTGATAAATAAGTCTGGACGGCCGTGGCAACGAACATATGCCATGGCATCTTGAGCATATTCCTGCATGTGGCGTGGACTACCTATGTATGAGGATGGCAAAATCGTGAGCTTTCCAACGTTGGTTGTATTACGGTCATTCATCACAGCATCCCGCAAATGTATATATTCATCGGACCGAAGTTTCTTCTGATTCAATCGGAGGAACAGCAAACGTTCTGTTTCAATTTTTGCATACATATCGACAATGTACTGATGAAACAACTGACGACATTTCAATATATGATTGCAATCGGTCCTCCGAACCATTAACCTGTATGAGTAAAAGTTCATCGCGCTGCACTTTTTATTCGTTTCTACACCATTGACTGGATCTACCATCTTCACATTGAAATGGTATCCATCGGCACCATCCCAGAAGATTAGTGGATACTGCAAAGCATCGTAACAACGGTGAGTTTCTGCGACGTTTACCAATCGATCGTTTCGTCGATGGAGAATAATATCTCGAG